TGCCTTAATTTTCCGTTGCTTTTAATATTTTTCAAAATGCCTCTGGAATGAAGAATTTGCTTGCTAATGGCACGAGTAGCTCACCTGGTAGAATTCCCTGTCCAAAGAGCTGGAGTCAACTCTACATTTGTGGTCTGCTAGCAAATAATATTTATTTGCCAACAAAATATCGGACACACATACTCATACACAAACAGTTGCCTTTAAATGTAAAGCTTAAGTGGGTCAGTTTAGGTTAGCCCCATTTCTGGAGATGTCTCCTAGGCTCTGATATCTTTCCATCTCCATCTCCATCTCTCTCACATCCATCTGCATCTCCTCCATCAGTCAGGTGCAAAGAATCAGGATCAGCTGTAAAACCGCAGCATGGAAGATTTATTCATACTTACACAGAAGAATCTGGTCAGCACTAAATACAGAACTAACGGTCAGCACTAAATTAGTGTTAGATAAAGAGAATTCAGGGGGTGTGTGGACTTGGATCTCTTGTGGCAACGCAACGACTGTAAAGCTGATAACGCATTTAACTTCGCCCACCTAGCTCTGCCTACTCCTCTCTTACATCTTTATAGACAGAAGTGATGGTTTCCAAGCTAAAGTCCTTGGATTCCTGATGACAATATTCATGCAAACGTCTTAGGTCTTGGGTGTGGCCATAAGACGGGCTCTTCCTAGAGTAGACTGTAGTTTCTGTAAGACTGGGATAATCCAATGAATTTCCCCTTGCCGTCCCTAAATTTAAGCATACTGACCTCTTCCAAATATGGAGAAGTTGACATTGACGCCATCATGTCAAAGTGTAGACGTGAACTAGTAAAAACCAGAGCTTCTCCGCCCTTTCCTTGAGAAAGACAGAGTGTCTCCTCTTTGGGTCTTTGGTGGCTTTCAGACAAGGCCAGGAAGAGAGCGTTTCAGGATTTAGTTAATTATTATTATTATTTTTAGAAAACCGAGCTGTGTTGTCATTTACAAAGAAAACTCCGTTGACTATCTTGTCCATTATTCTTTGTGCATGACTACATAACACTGTTGGAGCACTTGATGGCATGTCTGTAAGCAGATCCAAACTCACCAAAGGTATCTTCTGGGAATGAAAAAAATACCTTCTAATCCAAAAGAAAGTGGACATCTAATTATGAGAGCCTTTCTAAAATACGAAGAGTTATACTACCTTGGTTAATCACTCTTCCCTTGGTTGACTTTCTGTGAGCCGATCACGAAACTGTTTTGACGAGTTGAGTATAATTGAAGAGAGCAGCATATTCTATTCTAGGAACATAAGTACATTAGTCCTCCATTAGATAAAAGGCTACTGTTATTCTACCGTAGTGCCAGGATTCAAAAGAAATATATTAAGTCCTTATCAGCCTCATCTTAACTCTACAAGTTCAGAAACCATTATCAGATGACTAATTTTGCTAATAGGGTGCTTCTAGTACATAAGATGAATGGAAATGAAATAAGCATTGATGCTGGACACTGTTGTTCTCGTTGCAATTAGTAGTAAGTAGCTAATGAAGCTTGGCCTGTATCCATTTCACTACTGTCATTCCGGCTCTTCTACTCATCTATTTAGGAACAAAGAGATTCTCGAAACATGAATGGCTAGAAGTCAGCTAGGTCCTCCTTGATTCTTTGGTTTCCTTTTGAAGTGCTGGAAGAATTGGGGTTAGAAAAAAAACCCCAACAATACTTGGGAATGAGAGATAAGAGGTGAATGTATTGCCAAATTAAAACTGTCTGTCTTGGCCTTTCCTCATTTTACTCCACTCTAATCATTAGTTTGGGTAATGAAATGTCGGCAAGAAAACAAGCATGCCCAGAGAGCACCAAGGACCCCTAATCCTTCTCTCTTTCATGGATCTTGATCTGTCCCCGTCCACACACACACACAAACACAGCCAGCCGAGGGTTAAGGAAACACTTTGGCACACACCCAGGTCTTTATCTCCAACTTGGCAGCGATTTACACACCGTCTGCCAAGTGCGTTTATTTCCACAAAACAGAAAGATAAGATACTTAGCGTACAAAAGTCCAATCAGAATAATATTCCTCTCAGCAGTTTCCGGACGAGGCTTTAGTGACTATCCAAGGTTTACTTTTGTTCGTCACAAGGATCACTGGCCACCACCCTCTATTATATAGTCTCTGGGGTGTGGTCCAGTGACTCAGTTCTAATCCCTAGCACGCCTCCTGAGTTGCTGCAATAGTTTATCACGCCTTCGGAGGCGTGCGTCCAGGAATGATGTCTCTCCCTCGCTCTCATCCGAGCCACCTGTCTCCCTGCTAATCTCCTCTCCCTCGGCCAGCACCTGAGACAGTGCCAGAGGGGAGGGGCCTGGAGAGGGAGGCCTGGCTGACTCCTCTTCCTCATGCTCGGAGCTTTCTTCCTCCGACGGGACAGGCTCAGAGGGCGGGGCCATAACAGATCTTCACCTAACAAGCATGGCCACCTCAAGTCAACAGTCTGAAGCCGGTTAAACTGGCCACAGGGTCATGCTAGCCAAGCCACAATTTGCTTAGTTCTGGGAAGATTTTGAGGCTGAAATCGGAAAGCGATCCTGTGTCCCAGGCTCAAGGCTTGTGGTGGGTGCATATATTTCATGCACATGTACTTCTCAGGATCACAAAGTTTGGAAAGTACAGCTGTCAGGGTTCCGGTTAACTCCAAGGCAGGCATATTCCTCAAAGTATGGATTTATTAGGCATGTCATATTGGCACATCTGGGGAAAACCAAACTCTGAAGGACCCGAGATTTTCCCCACCCAAATCAAACCTCAAAGTTCTTTCCTCCCCCAGGTCACACGTCCATCCACATGGACCAGCCAGGTTGCAGCCACTGTCCTGGCCAGCTTTGCTCCACGTCTCTCCAGCACCTGGTAGAGTGTCCTTGGCTCCCACGGGAAAGAATGTTGTTTTGGCTACTCCTCCCCAGCTATCTCTATCTCCCCCCTTATGTTCTCATGGCCCCAACTGGCTTTGCTGTGGCAGCCCTGAAGATGCTCCTAAAATGGTTTCATCTCAGGGCTGACAACAGCTTTGTGGGAAAAGGTGGGGGATTTATGGGTGAACACAGAATCACAGTTACATCCGAATGTTGGCTTCTCAGTTCTGTGAACAACGGTTCCCAGTTCCATTGTATTTGCAGCGATGTTTTCTCTTCCTCTTTTTTTTTTTGAAATTGTTTTCTCCCGTGTGTATCCCAAATTACAATATCATTCCACTAAAGATTTAAAAGGAACCAAATTCACCATAAAGTTCTTCCTCGCCCTCTGCTTTGTTATAATAGATGTTTGCGCTCGTGATGGAAGGATTTGAAATATTTCAGTTGCTACTTCTAAATTGCATTAACTTATAATTTGGGGTTTTGTAATGCTAAGCTGCCTTAATGTATACTGTTTGATGAGCTGGCTTGGATTTTCATTGGTTTAGACATAGTTTAATTTCCCTTCCCTTTGCAACTCTTTTATTGCAGTTCTTATTTTTAGCAATCTGTTATTATTCTCCTGTTCATGTAGGGAAATAATACCGTGTTTTCCCCAAATGAATAGCTCGAAGCAAAGCAATAACATATTGGTATTTTAATTTACTTATTAAATACATGCACTGAAATTTTTGAAAAGAAACACGGCGAAGTTGGCAGGATTTCCCCTCCCTTCTTCTGCCATTTTTTTTTTCTAAAGTGTCTGAGGATGGCAAAAATTAAATTATTTACAATTTTTCGACTCACAAAAGAGAAGCCGATTTGGGTTATTTACTTTTCCGATAAGGAAAGAGGATTGAAATTGTTGTGATCTGCTGCTTTGTTAATTTCGTTTTTGTTCCCCGGTGTATGTAAAATATAGTTTTGTTTACTTTTTGTTTTTTGTTGGCTTTTTTTTTTTTAAAAAAAAAACAGAACTCGCTTGGACCCTGACAGCCTCTTTTGAAATCGCAGGGAACTCGTCAGATTAAAGAAAACATGAAAAGATCCTAAAAATATAAGTCAGCGAGTGGTTGATAAAAATAGAAGTGCTTGGTAGCGGAGGAGAAGGGTGGGGGGAGAAAAGAATTTGCTTTCCTTCCAGTGACAGGAAACTTCAAGTACAATATACATTGTGGGTCTCTACAATGGAATGGCCTGGAGCCTTGCCAGTCCTAATTGGGAGCCGAGAACAATAGAGATGGACCCCACCACCCATCAGCCTCTTATGGCCAATACAAATGATGATCTGGGTGAACATTTAACTCCTGAGGTGCTCTTGGGGCTCTTTCAACTTGGTTGTTTCCTTGCAACCAAGCAACTTCATGACACAAGCTAAGTAACATCATCAGTGCTAGAAGGGAGTAGGGTTTGCGGAAAGGAGGATGAGGATTGTGAGGTCCTTGCTGCTCTCTGAGCTTGGTTGTTCTTGCAAACATTTCATTATCCAAGTAGGTAACATCATCAGTGCCAGAAGAGAGGGGTTTTTGTGGAGAAGAGGAGGAGAATTGTGGGGTCCTTGGCACCCTCTAAGCTTGGTTGTTTTCTTGCAAACGTTTCATTACCCAACTAGGTATCATTATCAGTGCTCTCCAGCATTAATTTGGGTAATGAAACATCTGCAAGCAAACAACCAAGCTCAGAGATCGCCAAGGACCTCACAGCCCTCCTCCTTCTGCACTCCACAAACCCCACTCCCTTCTAGCACTGATGATGTTCCCTAGTTGGGTCATGAAACATCTGCAAGAAGACCACCAAGCTCAGAGAGCACCAAGGACCCATAGTCCTTTTACTTCTCTCCTCTTCTTCCTCTTCTTCCTCCTCTTCCTCCTCCACTCCGCAAATCCTTCTCCCTTCTAGCACTGATGATGTTCCCTAGTTGGGTCATGAAACATCTGCAAGAAGACCACCAAGCTCAGAGAGGACCCCTTGCTTCAACCCTGAGCTACACATATTCTCCTTTATTGGCATTTTTGATTCTTTGCTGGTCAACCCACTGTTTCCCACTTACGGTGATTTCCTTCTCCCCTTTACAGGTGCTGATGCCTCAACCAACACCGTGACTCCTGTGATCGTAATCCCTCCGCGCAACTCAAGCGTAACCAGCGGGAGTAATGAAGCTATCCTGGAGTGTCTGGCCAATGGCAGGTAAGGTAAACACAGCCACCGACAAAGACGAGTTTCTTGAGAGAACAAGTGAAGCCTTAAACGGGAGGCAAGGACATTTCTTGCATGGAAAATTGAATTTTCCAGAAGGCAATGTAGATTTTGCTTCTCTATCCCCTGAAATGTGCGTCCTTCTGAGGTAGAGTAAACAGATTTTAAAAATGCAGAATATATGCTTGAGTGGTGTTTATTTTTACCCTAGCAGCAACGAGGAGGAAAGGAAAATAATGAGATCAATTATTTGTATAGAAATTACTATAAAGCAGAGATTTTTTTTTAAAAAAAATCCCAGAGATTAACCTCACCTGGGCCATCGTTTGTGACAATTGGCCAGCGGGCTAACGATTTTTAAAATCAATAATGACTTCTTATTTTGTTCCACTTTAGGGGCAAAAATAAATGTTTGGAAAAGAGAAATCAAGGGATTGACTGCTGGGCAACCATTCTACCCAAAATAGGGCTTAATAAAAAAATAAATAAAACGGGAACTGACATGCTTTCCTTCTGAATAATTTGAATATTTGGCCTTGTTTAAAAGTGGGAAAAGATGTATGCCGGAAAAATCATCCGAAATTCTTGGAGGGCCATCCGATCCTCCCTTTTTTTTTTTTTCCTCTGAAAGCAGAGTTTTCAATTGTTTCAATTATTTATAATTGAATTATAATGGAAGCATTTCTCAATGCAGATGTACCCCCTGAGTAGCATTTATTTTTACCATCCTTCCCTTAGGCAAAACAAACCATTAGCATGAAAAAGTAAAATTACCATTATAATTAAACATGGTCGTTGGGCGTCACTTGAGCCGGCCCTGCTGGTGGACAACATAAAAGAACAGCAGATGTTCTGAGACTCCTGTGACTCTTGGAACTTCCTCCGTACAGTATTTGCTTATTGAGATGCTAGATGAGGACTGTCCGGCTTTGGAAACGTTAAGACAGGGAGGAAATCCTACCGGTTCGGACCGGTTCGGGCGAACCGCTAGGGATTATAGTCATCCGTTCGCCAAACCGGTAGTAATTACCCCTCCTTGGCCCCACCCATGCCTGGTGCTCACCTCTTCCGGCAGCTCGATATTCCACAGAATTCAATGTTAAATGCAGCAGAGAGAATGCTAACTTTTCTCCCTCCATTCAAAACGGAGCTGCTGCAGCCTGTCCCTTTTAAGGTAGTCCCTAGGAGGGAGGGGGATGGGGGGGGAGCAGCTGGAATGGAGCTGTTTTTGTGAAAGGCAGGAAAATGGGGAAGGGGATTTTCCTGCCTGTCATCCATTCCTCAATCTCAGCACAGGCTGAGGGAAGGATGGTAGGCAGGAATATTCCCCTCCCCATTTTCCTGCCATTCGCGACAAGGAGTGGCTGGGAGGGGAGGGGCCGGTGAGGAGCCCCCTCGATGTGAGTGATGTCGAGTTGGACACGCCCACCCAGTCACATGACCTCCCCCCCAACAAGCCACTCCCACAGAACTGGTAGGGGAAATTTTTTAATTTCACCCCTGCTTTAAGACATGTGGACTTCAACTCCCAGAATTCCCCAGGGGATACGTCATCACTTACATCAGAGCAATAATGGACAGGTGTTTCCCTCCCCCACTCCTAGGCCCATTGAGAAAATAAGTATCACCTGGAAGAGGAATGGGAAAATCCTCAGTGGGGTCGGCAGGACGGGCCGACGTCTGGCGATCGCAAACCCAACTTCAGCTGACCTGGGAATGTACGTCTGTGAGGCACAACTGAGCGACAGCCCCCTCGAGCCCGAAAGAGCGAACACCTTCCTGTCTATCCTGGGTAATGCTGCTTTTCTTCTTCTTCTTCTTCTTCTTCTTCTTCTTCTTCTTCTTCTTCTTCTTCTTCTTCTCCTTCTCCTTCTTCTTCTTCTCCTTCTCCTTCTCCTCCTCCTCCTCCTCCTCTTCCTCCTCCTCCTTCTTCTTCTTCTTCTTCTTCTTCTTCACATTAAGCGCCTTAAACCAAAGGATAATAGCCAGTTGAAATAGTTGCTTTTAATATGCCGTTGACTTCTCCATCAAACTTCTCCACAGGGGATAAAAGAAACAAAGGAGGGAATGTAAAGGCAGTCTTCAAAATTCATGCATCCCTTTTCTTTGTGGATGCCAATGCGGAAGGTATTAAGGATGTCCTTCCTCATAGAAAATGGTTTGTTTGTCTGTTTGTTTATTGGATTTCAAGGCCGCCTGACTCCATAATGGCTTACATTATTTACACAAAGACCTATTTCAAAAGAGAACATCTCCTCCCAGACAAAACTACATAAGTCACATGAAAATGAAAAAAATAAAATAAAATAAATAACTAGGGGTTGCACAAATACCCTATTCCAAGACCATGGAATGGAGTCAGGTCTTAAGAGAATCTGGCACATTTGAAGACGGAGAGCCATACATATACAGTCTTCCGATAACTCAGGGGCTGCCCCAAAGAAGAGGGGCTCATTCTATTCTCTAAAGCACCTGAAGGCAGGACAAGAAGCAATGGGTGGAAGCTAATCAAGGAGAGAAGCAACCGAGAACTAAGAAGAAATTGTTCCTGTTAGAACAATTAACCAGTGGAACAACTTGCCTCCGGAAGTTGTAAATGCTCCAACACTGTCAGTCTTTAAGAAGAGATTGGACAACCATTTGTCTGAAGTGGTGTAAGTGCCTAAGCAGAGGGTCGGAGAAGAAGACCTCCAAGGTCCCTTCCAACTCTGTTATTCTATTCTATTCCGTTCCGTTCCGTTCCGTTCCGTTCCGTTCCATTCCATTCCATTCCATTCCATTCCATTCCATTCCATTCCATTCCATTCTATTCTATTCTATTCTATTCTATTCTATTCTATTCTATTCTATTCTATTCTATTCCATTCTATTCTATTCACCTTTGAAGAAATGCTGGTCCTCACGAACAGGATCCGTTCAAAATCCTCAGTTGTGATTGTCAAATTAGAACCAGACTAACTGCTAAGATGCGGTGGCTCAGTGGCTAAGACGCTGAGCTTGTCGATCAGAAAGGTCGGCAGTTCAGCGGTTCGAATCCCTAGTGCCGCGTAATGGGGTGAGCTCCCGTGACTTGTCCCAGCTTCTGCCAACCTAGCAGTTCGAAAGCACGTAAAAAATGCAAGTAGAAAAATAGGGACCACCTTTGGTGGGAAGGTCACAGCGTTCTGTGCGCCTTTGGTGTTGAGTCATGCCGGCCACATAACCACGGAGACGTCTTCGGACAGCGCTGGCTCTTTGGCTTTGAAACGGAGATGAACACCGCCCCCTAGAGTCGGGAACAACTAGCACACATGTGCGAGGGTAACCTTTACCTTTTAACTGCTAAGACACTTATGAAGCTTCCAATTCCTGGAGATTCTGATTCTCATTCTCATTCATGGGAGACGTTCAGGGACTTTCTCCTTGTGCCCACCGTAGTCTGTTGTGATAGAGTCACAAGAATCGTGTGAAGGTTGCCATGAATCTCAGCCCTTTGTGTATTCGGGTGCATTGAAACATTTAAGTCAAGCTGAAGTTCTTCCTTTTATACTAGAGGGTGTTTCAGTCCCATCTTCTGCCTTATAATAAATTACATCAAGGTTGGTTTCAAGTCCCTTCCTCGTCCTTCCATTTCTCCCTTTCTTTCAACTCTTTCAAATTATTACCTCTCCTTTCTTTCGAAGAGCAGGAACCCATTTCCGTTATTTATGATTTGGATTAAAATCAGTTTATCCCAACACTCGCTCCCGCCACCTTGCAATTTTATAGTAACTCATTTAATTTTTTTTTATTTTATTTTATTTTTGGCTGTACTGTCAGATCCTGCCTCTTGCAATGTTGCAAGCAATGTTTCTTCTGTTGCAGTTGGCACTTAAGTGGAGTTCGGATAATATATAAATAAAAAAAAAAACAACCCACAAACAAACAGAGATAAAAGATCAGAGAAGTCACAGCTGCTTTGATAAGTAGCTTCTGCTCTTCTTCCTGTGCCTTGCTCTATTCCTAATCTTGGTTTTATAGGGCTGCTTGATGAACAGAGCTTGCAATGTAAAAAGTAAGAAGACAAGTCAATAGCATACTAGCGATCAGTTCCATCAAAGATAATTGAGACTCTAGAAAGAGTGCAGAGAAGAGCAACCAAGAGGATTAGGGGACTGGAGGCTAAAACATATGAAGAATGGTTGCAGGAACTGGGTATGTCTAGTTTAATGAAAAGAAGGACCAGGGGAGACATGATAGCAGTCTTCCAATATCTCAGCGGCTGCCCCAGAGAAGACGGAGTCAAGCCAAAGCACCTGAAGGCAGGACAAGAAGCAATGGGTGGAAACTAATGAAGGAGAGAAGCAACCTAGAACTAAGGAGAAATTCCCTGACAGTGAGAACAATTAATCAGTGGAACAACTTGCCTCCAGAAGTTGTGAATGCTCCAACGTTGGAAGTTTTTAAGAAGAGATTGGAAAACAGTTTTGTCTGAAGTGGTATTGAGTCTCCTGCTTGAGTAGTGGGTTGGATTAGAAGACCTCCAAGGTCCCTTCCAACTTACTCTACGCTACTCTACTCTATGCTACTCTACTCCATTCCACTCCACTCCTTTTCTTGCACCATTGACACCTGAAGTCCGATTTTAATGTTTATCCAGCTTGGCCTGTTAACATGTATGTATGTACTCCAGCAGACGGTGGAATAATTCATGAAAAAGCAGGAACTTTAAAACAGAAAGCCTGCAAGGTTTTAATTGGCAAGGGAACAGAATCCAGAGGAAAATACACCCAAATATAAAAACCAGAGCACTCATATAAAAGGGATAATTCTTTCTAAGCTATCCTGAAGGTGTTCCTTGCACGAGGCTGCATTATTAAGCCCTGTTTTAGTAGCACTTAAAAACTTAATTATACTTGTCCATTTGGGCACGTAAAACATATGCTGGGGACACAAGTAAGGAACACCGCACTGCACACTGCAGGTTTTGGCTTCAGCAACAAAACATTTCTTGATCTAGTTTAGAATAAAATCCTTGGCTAAAGAGGCTAAACGTTATTTGCACTGGGAATGTCATCCCCTGTGTATTTCATTACAAGTCTGGAAATACTATAAAGCAGTAGGTCTCAACCTTCCTAATGCTGCGACCCTTTAATACAGTTCCTCATGTTGTGGTGACCCCCAACATTAAAATTATTACTAAGACCATTGGAAATATGTGTTTTATGATGGTCTTAGGCGACCCCTGTGAAAGGGTTATTCAACCCCCAAAGGGGTCCCGACCCACAGGTTGAGAACCACTGCTATAAAGACTACATATGTAGACTTATATTCCTTGGGATAAAATCTTAAGTACAGCAAAAATAAAATAAAATAAAATAGAAGCATTATGATTTTCAGAAAGGTCTTTAATGGGTCACTTTAATAATTGAGGTAGGATATTTGAAAAGAGGGACTCGGTGGCTCAGTGGCTAAGATGCTGAGCTTGTCGATGGAAAGGTCAGCAGTTCAGCGGTTCGAATCCCTAGTGCCACGGAATGGGGTGAGCTCCCGTGACTTGTCCCGGCTTCTGCCAACCTAGCAGTTCGAAAGCAGGTAAAAAATGCAAGTAGAAAAATAGGGACCACCTTTGGTGGGAAGGGAACAGCGTTCCGTGCGCCTTTGGCGTTGAGTCATGCCGGCCACATGACCACGGAGACGTCTCCGGACAGCGCTGGCTCTTCGGCTTTTTCAACCCCTGGTAGGCCAACCATGGATAAATCCAAGTAAAGAAAAGTTTCAGAAGAAAATAGAACATTTAATTCAACTACATATGCTAGTTTGTGGCCGCTCAAGAAATAGTCAGGCACGGGAAGGGTTTTTGTGGCTCCCGGTGTTTTCTTTTCTGTGGGAAACGGGTCCAAATGGCTCTTTGAGTGTTTAAGGTTGCAGACCCCTGCCTTAGGATCAATGACAAAAACCAGGGTCAAGAAAAATCAAGCCATCCACTTTGACTTTCCAAAAATGTCTAGGGTTGGGGGTTTTTTTGTTTCTTGTTTTTTTGCCTCCTGCCCACAGTAAATGTATCTCTATATATTAGTGTCTACTTAGGCATTGAAAATCTATTATAGTTGAAAATTTATACTATTAAAAAGCTATAAATTGTACAAACAGCTAAGCGCCTTGGTTTCACTCCGCAGGTTTAATTTTCTAGGAGATGCAATTTCTCGACGCCTCTGTTGCAAAGACGCACTGAAATCAGGCACTGAGGGTTTTCTAAATAATTAATAGGAGGACATTACATACAAAATGTGCGGGAAGCAGGATCATAAGATCATTCTGAGTTTTTTCCCTCAAGATTGCATGTGGATGTGATTTGGCTTTATTAAGCTAGTAATGAGGTAGCGCGTGTGACACACTTAGGTTCGTGCGTGTGTCTTTTTCTGCCAGAAGCGAGACAGCCGCTCCAAAATGTAGGAGCACACACATGCAAAAATTCATATTCGTTGAATGAATAACTACGAATTAAAATTAATTGCCTGTAAAATTAGGTATCCATTCATAAAATTATATGAACCCCCTTCCCCATCTATCAACTATACTCAGACATCAGAAAAAAAACCCCATTTGCGCATTTGGGAACACACAAATCCGTGCAACACTCTCAGTCACATGCATTCCTCTCCCCTCTTTTAGCACAAGCTGCCAAACTTACCCCCCCAAAAAAACAACAACCGCAGGATGAAGAGAGAGCTGCGTAGGGAATGGATGCCAAGAAGAGGAATAAAACTGGATGGAGTGGAGAGGAAAAAATATTTAGACCAGGAAGAGAAATAAGGATTGAAATTGAGGGTGGAGGTTTGGTCTCTGAGCTTATGGGTTGATTTCTGAACATTTCGTTACCAGTCTGGGTAACATCTTCAGCGGGATTGAGGGGATGTTCAGTGTTGGTGGTCTTCAGCTCAAAAGGGCTTTGTGTGATCAGTGGGTCTTGTAATGGGGAGGTCATGTGGTCTTGTAATGGGTCAGGTGTGACCGATTACCCCTGACCCATCAAAGACTCATCATCACCAGAACTTCACTTGACACAACCCATACCTGACCCTCTCCGTATGCGATCTTCCCATTACAAGACCTACTGACCACATGAAGCCCTTGTCAGGGTTCCAAGGAACACCCCCAACGAAAGAAAACTTGAGTTTCTCCAAAATTCCATTTTATTAGAGATGTCATGTTGGCACATCTGGGAAAACCCGAATCTGAAAGTTTCCAGGTTTTCCCTGCCCAAAAGAAAGTCCAAGTCCGTGCCCAGCACCCACATGTCCATCACATGGTCCAATCATCCACCGTCCAAACAGGAGATACCTCCCAGTCATCTGACTCCAGGTGCCAGGGCAAAACGCCCTTGACTCTCTGAGAAAGGAATGTTATTTTGACTGCATATCACCCATACTCTATGCAATCCCCGCTCCCATTTTCCCACAGTAGAAAATGTGGCAGGCCTGAAGGCCCAAATGTAAAAGATGGCTTCCAGGTCTGACAGCCCTTATAATCAGAAGAACACCAACATTGACATCCCCTAAACTCCACTGAAGATATTACCTAGCTTGGTAATGAAACATTCAGAAATCAACCCACAAGCTCGAAGAACAAACCTCCGCCTTCATCCTACACCCGAGCTACAGATATTTGCCACTATTGCAAAGGATTGAAATTCCCCAGATGAGCAACAGGGAGGCATCCTGCATTTTCCAGGCCACACTTTCAACTTGCAATCTCCGAAGACGTCCCTGCTTTTAGCAGAGATGGGGGCCACCATTTGCACCTCTTCCTTCATGCCTTCGGCCTTTCAATAGTGTCTTTTCTTTGAATGGAAGATGGTCTCCACCACAGGGCTAAAAAAAAGAAAGAAAGAAAAAGAAAAACACCCTTGTTTTCCTAACAGCCAGTACAGTAATGGTCCCTTCTTTTCTTCCAATTCTTTTATGATGATGATGATTTTTTTTTTTTATCAATGTCATAGCTGTGGCTGGAATAGATTTTGGCAGATGTTCACCGCCTGAAGAAAGATGAAGAAGAAATGCTGGATCTCACTTGATTTGAGCTGTCAATGGAACAACTCAGGCGGCTCTGCTAATGAACCCTTATCCCATTTCACGACAAGCAGGAGCCTTAGCAATGTTGGCCTTTGCGGCTCGTGACAAAGCCAGAAGTTGAGAAAGAGAAGGCTTCCGAGAAGATGGATTTTTGCAGGCTAAGCCTCAAAGATGCGACTCATGGAAGACACATTGTAAGGCTGCAAGAGAATGAAATGGCGAAGGAGAAGGATAGGGAGAGACTGAGGGTGGAGTCAAGTGAGGAATTAGCCTAGAATCGTTGCATTCCCACAAATGGTCTAAATTCAACCCTTTTTGATTTCCATTGATCTAGCAGCAATTTGGTGCTGACTATTAGTTGACTAGATTGTTGTGTATAGGCATGAGCAATAAATCAGCTTAATTGGAGCTTAATGTGTGGTCCTGATTCGTGACCTCTTGTATGGTGGCTGCCTTTGGGGTTGAAGTCTTCTATAAAGGTCAAATAACAATTACCCTGAACGATCATAAAATGGATTAAAGAAGATTTGAGTCTCAATTGGGTCAACAGGAAAGGAACATAAAACAGTTGCTCCATTGTTATTAGCTCAATGGAATACGTATGAATGATGGGACCACAGATGAATGAATTGAAACCCAGGAGCACATCTACTAGGAGAGAGGTTGCAATTTTGGTGCAAAGAGCAGCAAGTAAAGTAAACCTTTACCCTCTGTGATATCCCCAAATTGTTTGCTGTGTTTCCTTGATTTTGCTTAACGCTCGCTTCAGATCCCTTTCTTAAATTCGATTTGATAGTGGCCAGTGTTATCAATTTAGGATGCTGCCCTTCCTACCACACATGTTCCCAAGGATATAAATAAATAGCAAGTGAATTCTTCTGTTATTAGACAAGCCAGAATGGCAAGGAGTGAGTATTCTTGCTAACAGAGCCTGGCTGGTGCAGTGGTTAGAAAGCAGGATTGCAGGCTGACTCTGCCTACCGCCTGGAGTTCGATCTCAACCGGCTCAAGTTGTCTCAGCCTTCCATCCTTCCGAGGTGGATAAAATGAGGACCCAGATTGTTGGGGGCAATAGGCTGACTCTGTAAACCGCTTAGAGAGGGCTGGAGAGCACTGTGAAGCGGTATATAAGTCTAAGTGCTATTGCTTCTTTCCTTTCTTTCTCTCCCTCCCTTTTCTCCTTCCTTCCTTCCTTCCTTCCTTCCTTCCTTCCTTCCTTCCTTCCTTCCTTCCTTCCTTCCTTCCCATGGTGGCACAATGATAAGAATATTGCAGGCTGACTGTGCCTACCGCCTGGCGTTCGATCTCAACCGGCTCAAGGTTGACTCAGCCTTCCATTCTTCCAAGATCTGTAAAATGAGGACCCAGATCGTTGGGGGAGGGGCGGGACAAGAGGCTGACTCTGTAAACCGCTTAGAGAGGGCTGTAAAGCACTGGGAAGCGGTATATAAGTCTCATTGCTATTGCTCTTTGGCAGAACTGATTCTGGAGCGTTATAGGAGTGCCGAATGCCGCACCAACCTCGGTTAGCCGAAAGCTGCTGTGACATAGCTTAATTTAAATTTCCCACCTTCGTTGCACACCGTGATGAAAACTTGATGGGATCCTTATGCACACAGCCATGCTAGGTTTCTGCTTTTGCGTTTTATGTCTGACGCTGCACAGGTTATTGAGCAGAAACCGAGGCCGACCCTTTCATCTAATCTATTGCTGTAAATAAAACCTTTCTGGAAGAACCTTCTCAGCAGAGAATTGAAAAATTCACTGATTCGTGCTTGTAAAATGAGAAGGGCCTCTGCTCAGGCGTTAATCCGCCGCGTAGAACTCTGGATACGAATCGGCAGTGACTCCATGCGCTTTGAAATGCATATTCATCATCATCTATAATTGTCGAGGTGTTTTTACGAGGCCGTCACTGAAAAGAAATCATGAACTCAAAACTAGAAGTCAGGTTTTCTCCATTTGTAACGCTAGATTAATCCAAGAGGGGTGATAGATTGGGTTGAGACTTTGCATCTCTCTTGGAAGTGAATGGTTCTTCTCAATGCTAGCGGGTGTTATCTTCTGCCCCGAAGAAGATTAGCTCTACCACTGGAGAAGAACTAACACGGTCTTCTGGTTTGCCTTCCATAAGAGCCACCGTATTTTACCGCTGAACCAAACAACCGGATTTTGCTAGAAGTAGAGAAGACAGCGAGCATCCCATGCCAAGCCACAGGTGAGTAACGCATGAACAAATAACTACATTTTTAAAATGTGCTGGTAGTTCTCGACTTACGAGCACAATGGCGACCAGAATTTCTGTCAGAGTGCGCACAGTGTAACTATGTGAGACAACCCAGGAGCAAGTACAGTAAACAGAGGTTTGCATTTAAATAGTGGTTTTATCTACAAAGAAGAGAGAGAGAGAGAGAAAGGGAGAGAGAGAGAGAGAGAGAGGGAGGGAGGGAGGGGGGGGGGGGGGGGCACATACACCTTTACCACCGGTTCGCAACAGGATCGCGCACACTTGCTTCGCTTGTGCGCATGCCTTGATTCTGCGCATGTGCAGATCACTGATGACGACATCCAGGGCGGTGGGCGGGGCCTCCCGCCGGTTTTACTACCGGTTCTTGCGAACCGGTCCGAACCGGGGGCAACCCACCACTGACATACACGTCATGTCTCAGATTTTTCAGATCTCTTGAATCCTTGAGGAGCACCGGTGCTTAACGGTTATCCAATGGCTTGATGCACCGCTACCGAAAATCAGCCTCATTTAATTGAGAATACATCCATGGCTTTCTTTGCAAAGGCGAAGCATGATTGGACATTTTGTCCTTCTTTTTTTAGGATGCTTTCCTCAATTTCTAAGACATGGAAAGAAGAGAATGTCAGCAGTTGTGGTTACAGTTGAAAAATTAGCTTCCCCGCTGATTTTTTAAATTAATATTATTAAGTTAATAAATCAGAGGGGATTTAGGGAATAAGCCAAATACTAGATTTAATTCTATTATGTTCCTTTTAAAGAATTATTGTTATTCAAGCTTCAAGCTATCTCCAGCCTTTTTTTTTTTCGCCCCCCTGTCCTGGATGACTATTTCATTTTCGCATTATCTGCTTCCTCATGACTCCGTCTGTAGTAATTTCAGATTGCTGCAGTTTCAGGAGGTAAATTGTGCTTTATGCTAAGGATTCTGACAATCAGAATTCTGTGAGTGAGCCTTGGGTATAAACTTTAAACCACATTCTATTTCACAGCGTTGTATCGCATCTACTTTGTCACAAATAAATACCCAGTGCACAGAAGGTGATTTTTTTTTTTTAGACAATAAATGGCTTTATTATTCTAACGAAACGGAAGCCTCAAGTGCGATTTCAGGAACTGATTACATCCTGGTACAGAAATAGTTTTATGGCCGCTAAATTTCCATCTTCGTTTTTCGAGCCCTTCTTTTCTCATTTGTCTCTGTATTGTTTTGGAAAAATAACACCTACTCTCCATCTGAATAGAAAGACGCGTAAACCGAAGACAGGAATTTTACATATCCTGACATTTATTCTATTGACTTTTGAGTTCATAAGGCATTGATTTCTTCTTATACAATGCGACTTGATAAATTATATTTACAGCGCTTTCTTAAGCATCCATTCCAGATTTGGGGGAGAGAAATGAAGAGAAGTTGTTCCAGATGTCGCAAAGGGGGAGGAGGATCGAAAAAAGGTTCATGATATAAAAAAACTGAGCTGGATTAATATTTTCCAAGACAGTAAAGCCATCAATTAAAATTATAATAATGCTAAGATACCACATTCCTCCTTTGTCCATAGAGAAGATATCTCTCACTAAGACACAGTGAGAAGGAAGTTCAGAGCCCTTGGATGGTGATTTCCTCCAGCAAATGACCCTGATTCTCTAAAGTAAGGAATTACAGGTGATCACCATTACAGGTGATCCTCGACTTATGACCACAATTGAGCCCAACACTGTGACTGTAGTCAAGCATTTGAATTTTGATCACGGGATGCTGCAGCAGCCGTAACAGTGGTGGGTTGCTTCCGGTTCACACCGGTTCTATAGAACCGGTAGTAAAACCGATGGGAGGCTCCGCCCACCGACCCCGACGTCATCAAAACACTTCGGTGCATGCACAGAAGAGCGCACACGCGCGCCAGCAGCCCCACTACGAACTGGTAGTAAAGGTAAGTAGAACCCTGCGTTGTAAGTGTGAAAAAATGGTCATACGTCACTTTTGTCAGCGCTGTCGTAACTTCGAACGGTCCCTAAATGAACTGTTGTAAGCCAGAACTACCTGTATTTTAATGAATAGAGTATTTGCGTCAAAAGTGGGGCTGTGTTGAACATAAAGCCAAGCATGGAGAGAGTGCATATCTGACCGAGTTTTATCTCCGCGGGTCTCACACAGGCATCCCACGGCCTATCCTAGCTTGGTATAAGGACGCTGTCCCCATCAGCCAACGAGTCCATCCTCGTTACACGGTGCTACTCAACGGGACTCTTCAGATCCAGAGAGCGCAGCCAGAAGATTCCGGAATCTTTCAATGTTTTGCAAGGAACGAGGTTGGCGAGATAGAAAGCCATGCCTACCTTGAGGTCACCAGTAAGTTTGGAACTTCACAGGTGGGAAAATTAAGACAAGGTTTTGGGGCACCTGCTACAGTACTTAGTGAGACCCTGTCCAAGCAACTAAGCAACCAGAGCCACTTGTGGCTTGCCTAAGTCAGTAACTTCATTGCTTACTACCTATGTTACAAGAATCTCCTCAGACTGCTTGCCTTCCTCTGGGAAGAACCAGATAAAGCTTCATGGATCGTGGGGTAGGTCAAACTTAGGACCACTTGTGGCTGCACAGTGACTCCAAGCTAGACCCTCTCTTGACTCCTCCTTCCAGCCTAGCTGCCAGTTTCCCCAACAACCCGCCCTTTACTTCCAATTGAGTTTTCTCATCTCAAGCACACCACAGACTACAGTGGTTACATAAGATGTCGCTGCCGTCCACATTGCTGAACACTTCTGTCCTCCACAGAATGGCAGAGAGATGTCCCCTGACCATCAAATTCCCCAGCAGTGTCAAACTCCCGACAGCTTAGGAAGCAGCGATTTGACAGGTTGTCAGGAAAGTGAATGAAGGGAGTAAAATGGCAAAAGGAGGAAGGTCCTTCCCTCTCAAGAGTTCCTCATTTAAATTCCATGTAGATTTTGTGGTCACCGTATTTTACTCCTTCCTGGCTGCGTTTGTCCTCAACAAGGTGGGCTGCTTCTCTTCCCTACCCATCACATCGGCTGTCAATTTTTCCAAAGAAAACTTACATTCTCAAAAAAATAAAATAAAACCCTACAAATTAAAAAGAAAGTTTAAAGAAAATTTGGGGGGGGGGTGTCAACCAGGCTGAGTCTGCAACTTTTTCAGTTTACTGTTGCTCCCTTAGAATCTCTGGAGTAAGAAAGGAAATAGACACTGGTCCCACACTGAGGTAAAAAAATGGGAATGCAAAGAATAGTGGTTGTTTTCCATATAGATCAGGGAACAATGGAGGGATGTCTGAGTACAAAGGGGCTCCTTTGGGGTTTCCCTGTGTAGAGTGTTAGCGATCTATTAGGCCTTCCACCAAACTCACCCGGTGCTCTTACATCTAAAATCTTTTCTGAGCTAGAGATAAGGCTTTCCCCCTCTAAACGTTTGCATCAGAGGCTGAGAGAAAGCCAGAGAGACATTATGAAAGGGAGAAACACAGAGCAATATTTTGAATCAAATGGAAACTTCTTTTGGCTGACATTTAATTCCTGCAAACTAGTGTCAGACTGTAATTGCTTTTCGTCCTGCAGAGAACTAAACAGCCCTGGCTTAACTTGATCCATAGATCCATTCTTCTTGAAAGCCCACCCTTTGGCTTGATCTCAAAACCCCCGATGATAATCCCAAGTCATAGAATTCTTCTGAGAGGGACAATCAGGGGTGAAATGCTACCAGTTCGGACCGGTTCAGGTGAACCGGTAGTAAAAAATGCTACCGGTTTGGGCAAACCGGTATTTCCGATGATCAGCTGGGCAACGATCAGCTGTGACGTATGATTTACATTAGCTAGAATCGTCTGATTTCCTGCTTTCTAGCTAATTAAATCGCATGGCACAGTGGAGTTCCCACCCCCTCGCTGTTCTACTTACCTTTGCAGACTCAGAAGTCTTCAAAATGTTTTTTTTAGCATCGCGCGGGTGCACCTCATTTGCACATGAGCTTTGCGCACGCTCGGTAGCAGACTCACAGAACCTGTAGCAGACTTCAGAGGATTTCACCACTGGGGACAATGAACGTTTGGTGTCTACCCTACGACGGGTGCTCGGGGTTACCATGACGTTCTGGTACAGTGGAAAAACTCCACAAATGTTCTGAATTTTCAAAGGGCTCTTTTTTTTTCATGAAACCCTGTTTTTTGATTCCAGATGTTGCGCCCACCTTCTCCTGGCCCCCGGCAGACGCTACCATCACCGAAGGGATGAGCGCCGTGTTAAGATGTGAAGTTTCTGGAGCCCCAAAGCCCGCCGTTGCATGGAAAAGGGGTACATGCTTACTATTCTGCTAGGAAACCACTCAAATTGTGGTGGCTCACCAGGACCAATGAGCATAGCATTAACATCTTCATGCGCTGCAAATCAAGTGGACTGAGGCTGTTTCCAATTGCTGTGTTCCAGGGAATCAGATTCTGGCCAGTGGCTCCATTCAGCTCCCCAGGTTCCATCTCCTTGAGTCTGGAGGTCTTCAGATCAGCCCTGTCTTTCTCGGAGATGCTGGCGTCTACACCTGTTGCGCGGTCAACTCCGAAGGCGCGCTGAACGCCTCTTCTTCTCTCACCGTATGGAGTAAGACCCTGCTCGTTTTCAGCATTCATCTTGACTTAATCAGCTCACCTTGTAGCTGATTAATTCGGAGTCTAATTACAAAGCGTTTGTTTTCACGAGGGTAGAGCGGACATTGAGTAATAAGATGATAGTGTTTAGAAGCAATGTGGAGAACCACCATGAAAAAATCTCCCCGGAAAGAAGCATTTTTTGGGGGAGGGGGACATGTCTTTGACAGCCTTCTAAGGTGGCTTCTGCCTTCATAGACCTCCCTCATTGCACCTTTTCATCCTTTGTTAAGAAAGCAGCCAAATTAATGTGGGAGAACCCTGCCATACTGGGATGGGTGGGATAATGAGCAACCAGGCATGTAGTCCTCCCAAGGCAAAACCCCAAACGAGGATGGAGACAGGACGGAAACAGGATGGAAACAGGATGGACCTGAATTGTGAGTCGTCTTCTTTTTTTTTTCAGACCGCACTTTTATCGCCCGCCCTCCAGAGGATAGCACGGTTATTAAGGGAACAACAGCCATGCTTCAGTGTGAAGCTGCTCATGATCCAAGGATTTCCATCAGGTTAGTTGTCTACACGGTGATTCTCAGTCATCCAGGTCATGGTTGTCCCAAAGGTGCTTTTTCAAGAGCCAATTGAACTTCCTTTGTAGTTTACCGTATTTTTCGGAGTATAAGACGCTCCGGACTATAAGACGCACTTATCTTTTTTGGGGAGGAAAACAAGAAAAAAAAATCTGCCTCTGCCTCCCAGCAATTTGCCTCCTTGCAGCAAACAGGGGAGGCCCACGTGGCAATAGGCAGTGGCAATCCCTGCAGCCTGAAACAGCTGAGGGTCGGGAGGCCAATCCAACCGACAATCAGCTGCTCCTACTAATCAGGCTGTGCTGAAGCTGAAGCTGAAACGGGCTTTTTGCTGTTTGCTGCAAGGAGGTAAATTGCTGGGAGGCAGAGGCCAAAGGGTGGGGGGGCTACATTTGGTGTATAAGACGCACCCAAATTTTCACTCTCTTTTAGAGGGAAAAAAGTGTGTCTTATACTCTGAAAAATACGGTAGTTGACTCTTGAAAATGCACCTTTGGGACAATGAGGTTGCTTGTGGCGATGGTTGTTTGTATCATTTATCCCAACTTAATTGTCCCAACCATCAATGTTGGCTTGGGTGAGTTTTCTTGCCCTGGCTTTCCATTCCAACCAATCCAGTTTGAGACGGTAAATTACGCCCTTAATCCCATCAAGTTCTCTTTATTTTTCCCGCTGCAACCGTATGCATTATTTACAATGAGCTATGTTCCACTTCATGATTTCAATACAACGTCCTATGATTTACTGTCAAGGTTAACACAATATCAATAAAACCGACTTGTCACAAGCCGATCCTTAATGAGAATAAAACCCAAAGCAATTTAAGGGAATTGGTTTTGCAAATCGGTCTTTGCAAATCTTAGAAGCCTCACTTCCCCTCCTCCACCCCCCCCCCCCCACACACCCCTCCCTCGAGAAAAACCACCAAGAACCAAAGCTTCGCCAGACAAAATGAACCTTTTAACTACCAAATTCTACAAGCAGGGAATCAAAAGACTTCCCTCTGTGTTTCATACACAAGAATGAATATAGATATATCCAAATCTAACTAAAAAACGCTTCCATTCCCTTTAGAAAACATCAAACAATGCCATTTGTCAAAAGAAAAAAATGTGTAGACTTGACTAAAGAAGAAACTCTCTCTTAGATGCTTTTTGTTCTCATAAACGCTGGTAGGATTCTGAGTACAAGTCCCGCTGTAAACGGCTTAAAGCAAGAATTCTATTCTGCAAATTGTGACATTGAAATCACAGACAGGGAGAAGAAGAAGGAAAAAGGAGGACCCGGCCAACCCGCTTCCCCCACCCTGCAATCTTTTATCCTAATCTAATCAAATCTTTATTGTGGTCGAAGACCAGCCTAAGAAGTTCACGCTACGTATAATTAACATTTACACAGTATTTTTCGAGAGTGAAGATTTTTTTCACCTGTTGCCTAAGAAACCTTTGCAGCAGCTTTGAAAGAGAATATTCTAGGTTTTGGCATAATGAATATTATTCAGTGTTTTACGTTATTCTTCAATTTCAGTCATTGAGACGCTTGCCCTTCACAAATCGTTGACCTTGAGTCTTGAAATGACACAAATCGCCTAATTTTTTTTTTTGTAGGCACCATGAAAAACCGTATCTGCTTATGTGTTGTGACCTAGGCTCACTTAGTCATTACAAGACGCAATTGGTCCCAAACAAAACTGTTTTATTATAACAGCTGAGAATTACTTCATTCCCAGCTTAGCCCAAATTAATTCCAAAACAAGTCCTTCAGAAAAAGCCCTTCGGGCTTATCACAAAACTTTATCTTCTTTGGCACCCTGCCAAAGGCCTTTCTTGGCAAAGCCCCACGAAGTTCAGAAACAAGAGATGCCGACTGGAAAACAGATTTAGCAACGTTGCTTTCCTACAAAGAGCCCAAGAGGAGTTGCTGGTCTTTTAAGCCTTATGGGAGGGGCCAATCATCTCCTGGCCTTACTCCCAAGTCGTCCCTTTTGCTTTAGCTGCTCTTGCCTTCTGGCAGCTCTGCACATGCGTGCACTAGGAACAAGCTCCTCCTGTTCCTCTGCCTCTCTGCTGTCAGCCTCTGAAGGCTCTGGAGTCCTTAACTCACTCCCCGATGGCCCTGGCCCCATCTCTGCCTCCGACGCAGAGCCCTCATCCGGGCCTTTCCCAGCCTCCAGGACTGGTCCATTGTCCTCCCCAGCCTCCTCACTGTCCGACTCCACTGCCAGCTCCACAGGCTACTGGCGGACCATAATATTATGTTTCTGATATTTCCTAATATATTACATATTATATTTAACAACAGCATAGGGGAAAGGAAACTTGTCCTATGTTCCTTTATGTTTGGAAGGAGTTATTTATCACACAGTAGAATAAAACATATTTTAAAAGTGAAATAAAACCTTGGGCTTCCCCAATAAATATATGAATAGTTTTGGCTCCTGGTAATCCGTGGAGCCAAGCTCGAACTCTGGGTATATTTAGTGAAGCCAAGAAAATACAACTAAGAAGGGAAAACTCTTTGCTTTTTCAAAACTTGGTTGGGTTCAGATTGCCAATGATAGCTTCAAATTTGTCCCCACGCGCCTCAAAAAAATAACTGAGGTACTTATATTTGAGCTCTATAAAGTAGGGTTATATCCTTTTATCACAGTTTTTGTCAAACTGGACGAATTTAAGAGGGGTGGACTTCAACTCCCAGAATTTCCCAGCCAGCATACATGCATGGCTGGCTGGTGAATTCTGGGAGTTGAAGTCCACCCCTCTTAAATTATTCACCTCCGGTTTTAGCCAGGTAATTTCAGCACATTCATCATGTTTAACAAAACAGACAGCTGTCTTTTAATTAATCTTATGTACTGTGACCACCAGGTACACTTGGAAGAAGGATACTGTGATCATCAATCCATCCAGCAGCTCCCGAATCACCATCGAGAAAGATGGCAGCCTCATCATTGGCCAAACGTGGTCAGGTGACATTGGAGACTACACCTGCGAAGTCAATTCCTCGGGCGGGAATGATTCACGCGTGGCCCGAATGGAAGTAATGTAAGTTGTCTCGTAGCACGTTGGGATGGGGGATGTCAGGTGTGAAAGACCAGGCTCTACAAAGTTAGCATCCACCCCTCTCCTAGAAGAATGAAATATTTTGGGAAATATATTAAAAAAGGCAGAATATTATATTTCCCTAAAGGAGAAACATGCTCTTGGAAAGCAGCCCCCGCCTTTCTTAATAGCCCCAGCAAGTCTGGGCCAGCCTACCTACCAGACAAAAGACCTTCAGCTCCAGGGTGATAGGATTAAGACATGGCCCTTCAGGACATAATAGGACCATTCAGCAGAAGACACAGAGCCCACTGCATTGCAATCTCCTGAGGACATTGCATCACCCAGCAAGCTTCAACCAAACCTGGGAGCTCAGACAAACATGACCCCATAGGAATCTGACAACAGGCAATAGAATAAATGTTCTTGCACAGGAACAGGAAGCTCAAGTTCAAAGCCCAAGAGAAGGTGTAAAACCCCCTCACTCTCAACTCCATGTTGTCAGCTGCACTAGGACCATGTGCTGGGCGGTCCTGTTCACCATTAAACCCTCTTTCCAATCAGCCTCCATGTTTCCAGTGTCTTTCTGGATATTTTTCCCAACAAGGTCCATACGTGAAATTAAACAGATTTATTGGTAATCATTCTTAGACCCAAGAATTTTCTCAACCAACAGTCAACGCCTGCTTGCAGTTAGATAAAAGTCAACAGATAAAAGTCATGGAAAGTTGGACGTTGTTTGTGCCTATGTAGGGATTCTAAGCTGATCCCTCTTTTAACTCCGCGCCCAGCTTCTGCCACTCCTTCACTTTTATAAAACGTGTGAAATGACAAGCAGCTTCTTCTTCCTTTATCTTTTTCTTAGCTTTGCCTCTTTTTTCTTTTCTTTTATTTGAGTGTATTTCTCTCCGGAGGTTTTAATTTTGCTTGAGATTCATCACACAGAAAGTCTTTCGGAATCAATGAAACTAAATCGCCTGAATAGAATATTTTATGAGCTACTATAAAGTTACACAGGAAAAGCTAGTTTACATAATAATACTAATAGTCCCCTCTGTTTAGCATTCATCATTCCACAAAGAGGCAGGATTCTTTTTCTTCCCAGCTGGAGTCCTTCTCATGACAGTTTTCTCTACCAATCAGGACTAGCCTTATTGTTTAAAATGTATTTAAGGTTAATTAGATCACTTCCTTCCAAAGGGTCTCGAAACGGCCAGAGAGAATTCTTAGCTTCGTCATGTTCACAGTTTAGTTTGTAAAAATTTGTTCTCCACTCAGATGCCTGGATGTCATCAGAGCTCTTGTAACCTCTTTAACAGATCCACTTTAACAGATTAACAGAGTTGGAAGAAGGGACCTTGTAGGTCATCTAGTCCAACCCCCCGTCCAAGCAGGAGACCCTACACCATTTCTGACAGAGGGCAGTCCAGTCTCTCCTTGAAAGCCTCCAGGGATGAAGCTCCCACAACTTCCGAAGGCAACTTCTGTTCCATCGGTTGATTGTTCTCACTGTCAGAAAATTCGCTCCTTATTTCTACGTTAAATCCAGTGGTGGGTTGCTATTGGTTCTCCCCGGTTCAGGAGAGCCGGTAGCGAAAATCTTGATGTGAGAGCGAACCGGTTCGCTCCGACTGTCAGCCTCCGCACTATACTTACCTTTATTCCTTTGTTTTTAGCCCAGCTGTAAGACCCACCAGAGCAGATTGCCATGCCTCAGCTGTATTGAAATTCAATGAGCTTGCGTGAAGCACAAGTTTGGCATGCGTGTGAGCAAAGCGATTGTGCGCAAAGCACGTGTGCAAAGCAAACCGGTGAAATGCTCCCGGTTCGGACCGGATCGCCCGATCCAGTAGTGATGGCGGTGGGTGGTTCAGAGAACCGGTAGCAAAAATCCCTGCCCCCCCCCATGCCCAGCTGAGCCACGCGATCATCAGAGGTTTTTTTTTTACTTTTAAAAGCATTTTTTCTACAACCTCTTCCGCCGAAAAAATGCTTTTAAAAGTAAAAAAAAAAGCCTCTGATGATCACGCGGCTCAGCTGCGATTGTCAGAGGCTTTTAAAAGCATTTTTTCTAAGAGGTTGTAGAAAAAATGCCTTTAAAAGCCTCTGACGATCCCAGCTGAGTTGCCTGATCGTCAGAGGCTTTTAAAAGCATTTTTTCTACAATCTCTTCGGCTGAAAAAATGCTTTTAAAAGTAAAAAATAAAAAGCCTCTGATGATCGCACGGCTCAGCTGGGATCGTCAGAGGCTTTTAAAAGCATTTTTTCTACAATCTCTTCGGCTGAAAAAAATGCTTTTAAAAGTAAAAGAAAAAAAGTTGGCCACATCCACCCAGCCACATTACCCACCACCACCACCAAGCCACACCCACAGAACCGGTAGTAACAAATTTTACATTCCGCCACTGGTTAAATCTCTCTTTGTTCAGCTTCCATCCATTATTCCTTGTCTGGCTTTCGGGTGCCTTGGAAAACAGCTTGACCCCCCCTCCTCCCCTCTGTGGCAGCCCCTCAAATATTGGAAGACTGCTATCCTGTCTCCCCTGGTCCTTCTCTTCACTAAACCAGCCATGCCCAGTTCCTGCAACCGTTCATCGTACGTTTGAGCCTCCGGTCCCCTAATCAAACGAATGGTTGTAAGTTGAGAACGATCTGTATTAAACCTCTTAACAGTTCATTTTGAATGTTCAGCCAGCACCCACAAAGGAAGCAGACTTTGCCCGGGTCGCAAACATGAGTCTCCTTATGTGACAACAATAAAAAAAGTTGAATGTGTGTGTGTGTGTGTGCTTCGGGGAGGTTGGGTCCCCCCCCCGAAGCAAAATGTATTTGCACCTGCCTAAAGTGCCGCACGTCGTGTTCAATTGCAAGGCGAAATTGCAAGATGATTGGATCTTATTATTGCAGTTCACGAATCGATCAGAAAATATGCTTCTAACGAGCCAACGTTTCTCTAAAGAGGCCCAGGTCCTCTGATCTCTTGAACATCCGGCATTCCTCCCTCCGTGAGATTTTTCCTCGTTAAGAGTTTGCAATTTGCTTACTTTTTCCTCCCTATTCAAATGTTCTTATGGAACTGAAAGGGAGGCTTGAATTCATCGCTGAATTGGCTTGAATTTCTTCCGTCGGAGCAACAAAAACAGGCCGTGAAAGAATCAAGAGTGTTTTTGTGGGACAAAGGAATTCCTAGCGTGATCATTTCTAGAATCTAGTCCCGTGATGACGAACCTATGCCACGCGTGCCACAGGTGACATGTGGATCCGTATCAGTGGGCACGCGAGCTCAGCTCCGCCAGCTGATTTTCGGCCCATTGGAAGTTGGCAAACAGGCCATTTCTGGCCTCTGGAGGGCCTCCCGGGGGGGGATGTTGAGGAAGGCCATTTTCGCCCTCCCCAGGCTCCTAGAAAGGCTCTGGAGCCTAGGAAGAGCGAAAAACGGGCCTACCGCGCCCACCGGGCCATCACGTGCCAAAAGCAGGGGGAGCTGCGTGTGTGTGTGTGGGGGTCGCATACGCATGCATGGGGAGCATTGAATTATGGGTGTGGGCAGGTGTGCAGACAACCCCCCCCACACTTCCACCGCTTTTGGCACGCGACGGCAAAAAGATTAGCCATCCCTGATCTAGTCTATCAGTTTTCGGAGGGAACGATATCCCGTTTTTGCCAGCTCACCATACCTAGCCTTCCCTTGAAGGCTCCTTCGTCTACCATCCCAAATAACCTGTGCATGGTTGAAGTTTATTACAACCTTTGTATTTCTGAAGAGCGTCGCCTCTCCACCGCCGAGCCTAGATTGATTCCTCTTTTGAAATCGCCGGCTGTCCTGTTCATTTTTTTTTCCAATCTGGAGACAGGTGTCAAGATTCCAAGTAATAGCCCCATAGAAAGCAGAACTCCGAGGCAGACAGATTCCACAAAGGACAGTTTTATTGGAGATATCATTATTGGCACAAACTGGTGAAAAACCGACTCTGAAAATCCCCGCCGTTTTCTGCTGATTAAAAAGGGGAAAGTTTCCCCCTTTCCTCAAACAATCAGTCACATTGTCCAATAGAGATGCTGGCTGGTTGCCTGGTTACTTCACCCCTCCTTCCTCCAGTCACTTGTTGGATTGTCCTTGGTTCCCACAGAAAACTATTTAGTTTCGGCTACAACCCCTCCTCCTCTCTCCATCTACCTATGTTCCCCCTCCTTATCCTCTCTTTGCATTGTGGCAACCCTGAAGCCTGCAAAATGGGCCCAGCCAGGTTTGCTTCAGAGTTGACAGCAAGGGTGAAATACAAAATGAAGAAGCCAGTGGTGAAATCCAAATTTTTTTACTACCGGTTCTGTGGCCGTGGCTTGGTGAGCGTGGCTTGGTGAGCATGTCAGGGGAAGGATACTGCAAAATCCCCATTCCCTCCCCACTCCTGGGGAAGGATACTGCAAAATCCCCATTCCCACCCCACTCCTGGGGGAATGATATTGTAAAATCCTTATTCCCTCCCTACTCCTGGGGGACGGATATTGCAGAATCTCCATTCCCACCCCACTCTGGGGCCAGCCAGAGGTGGTATTTGCCACTTCTCCGAACTACTCAAAATTTCCACTACTGGTTCTCCAGAACCTGCTGGATTTCACCCCTGGAAGAAGCCCGTTAGAAGTTGACTCCGGATTGTCTACCGTAGGGCTGCATAAATCCTTTGAAAGAAAGTTTTGGAAAGCACAGGAGTGCATACCGAGCACCTCTTTTTGAATGGTTAAAGCAAACAGGCCTCTTCCTGGCTTGCGCAGCTGCTGCCAAAGTGGTTCCCAGCTGGCCTTTCCTGTTTGTGCATCAACAGAACATTTGGCTTCGCTGTATCCCAGATGCGGCTGCTTTAATGTTTGCAAAAGGAGATGCAGAGGGTACTGCTGGGCTTCTCAGCCTTAGCAATTTTTAAGACCTGTGGACTTCAACTCTCAGAATTCCCTAGCCAGCATGTCCCACAGGTCTTAAAGTTGCCAAGGTTGGAGGCCTCTGG